TCAAAAGTGGCTTCACCCCTCTGCCCGCTTCCCCCCCCAGCTGCTGTGGGGATGCTCCCCAGCAGCGAGCTGGCATGCTCCCCCCTCCATCGCTCCTGTCTCTGGCACCCTCTGGCCAGGGTGCTGGGTTGGATAACCCAGTGGCAGAGACCTCAGTGATGGGAGGGGGATGTTTCCCAATAATCCTGTGTCCCACCTCCACCCCCAGCAGTGACATTTCCTCCTGGCCACCAGCTTGCCCTCCTTGTGCCCCCCGCTCTGCCATCCTGCCTTGCTGGGCAGCAGGGGGGATGCAGGGGCTGGCCGCCCCCAGAGCAGAAGACCACATCTCCATGAAGGCTTGGCCCGAAAGCCCCCGTGTTGGGGTGGGCCTGGCCTGATCCTGCCAGGCATGGAGCAGCTCTTCAGTGCATTCAAGCTGCCCGTGGTCCCAGTGCACAGATGTGCTCCTCTCCCCACTGGGTATGGTCAGTCCCTCGTCCCCCACCACAGAAATGCCAAATAAAGGCTCTGCAAACGTGCAGCCCCACTTCTCGGTCAGGGGTGGGGGGATGAGAGTGTGTGTGTGGGCACAGCAGGGATGGATGGCTTGGAGCTGGAGAAACTTTTTTTTTTTTTCCCCTTCCCCCTCTGAGCAATTGCAAACATGGATTTATCACCAGCCCAGCATTTGGGGAGAGGGGGTGTGTACGTGTGTGTGGGTGCAGAGCACAGGAGGGCAAAAGGGAGGGGAAGCAGGGACCAGCTTCCAGCAAGGAGCGTTCCAGGGCATCATTCCGCCATGCTTGCAGAAATAGGGTTGTTGTTGGGATTGTGTGGTTGTTTTTCACCCCCCCACCCCCGCCCTCCAGACTTGTTTTCCTGGAACAAGATTTGCTCTGTGCAAGTGGAAACCAGCCCCAAGGCCATTGCTGCAGGGAAAGGCAGGGTGGGGGGGGATGACAGGGGTGTTCCTGCCCTGGCAAAGGCTGGGGGGGCAGGACGTGGGGGGCATACATGTTGGTCAATAGATCCTGGGGCACCCGCGCAGGGCTTGGGTGTCTTATGGCTACAGCTGAGCACACAGGGACCAGCCCCCCCACCATCCCTCCCCGTCTCCTGTTCCACCCCCTCTGCGAGGAAGCAGCTTGCAGGATAAAACAAGAGAGACTCAGCTACACTTCAGTCCTTAAATAAATACAAAGACACCAACCACCCTCAGCCCGGGCTGTGGCTGCGGCCGGCACCCCGCGCGGCAGGCCCGGGTTTACCACC